TTATATTTCGAGGAGAAGTAGATGTAGGAAAGCCAAACAAGCTTTGTTCGTTTGAAATTATTCAAAACTAGGTATGTTATTTCTTTAAATTTAAATGAAAAAAGAAAAAATGTTATAGTAATATTTTTTTAATTTTTTAGCACCCCATCATCGTCACTACATCATCGTTGTCCGGCTTCCTTCAACACAGGTAAATTTTCGATCATCGTCGTCAACAACAACAACAGCGTCAAATTTTCGGTGAGCCTAGTTTTTTGGAAACGAAAAAATTTAAGAGTTATCTAAGTGCAGTCGATGATTTTCTTAAAAATAATGATAATATCGACTCAGCAACTTGCATTAAATTAATTAATAAACATTTAAGAAAATGTAATCTTGCGATAAAGAAGTTTAAAATTAATGTAGGACAAAAACGTAATATATTTAATAAAATGAATCAATTAAAACGGCTGAGATGTTTACTAAAAACAAACTGCATAGGTTTGGGATACAAACGACGCTTTGGCTTTAGAAGGGTTAAATGGGAAGATATTAATGCAATTTTTAATAAAAGAATAAGAACTGGAGTTATTATCAATATGAAACATAAAGATATTTCAGCTTTTTTAAATGATTCATTTTATTTATTCAAAAACAAAATAACTAAAATTTTAAGTACAATGTCAATGTTAAAAGTTAACACAACTTTTTGTGGTGATTTTGTAAAAAATCAAATGATGAAGAATTAATTGACAGAAAATATTTTACTACTCCAAATGCGATTATTGATTTAGGAACAAATTTGTTTCATTGGTTTAAGGAAAACGTGATTGATCATATTTTAAATAAATTGTCGGAATTTCAGGAAAAGGATAGTGGATGGGCTTTACTAGAAATAATTTTGTTAGAAATTGCTATTAATAAATTTAAGAGTGGTAATGGAGGTTCATCATACATCAAATTGCCCGATCAAATTATAAAGAAACGCGCTTGTGTCAATGTTAAAAATAACGACGAAGCGTGTTTCTTTTGGAGTGTAATAAGCGCTCTGTATCCATCTAGAAATAATCAAGAATTCACTTATTCATATCCATATTATAGTAATGTTTTGAATACAGAAAATTTAGAACTTCCAATGAGAATTAATCAAATTTCGAAATTTGAAAAAATCAACAATATTTCGATTAATTTATACGCTTTAGAATTAAAACAAAGCAAAAGTAAAAAACAAACATTTTTCAATGTATCTCCTGTAAGATTGGCAAATAATAAATTGAAACATCATGTTAATTTACTTATCATACAAAATAAATATTTCCCAAGTAAAGAGCATGATGATGATGATGATGATGATGATGATGATGATGATGATGATGATGATGATGATATCAATATTGAGAGGCAGTTAAACGAACCTCAAAGGAAGTAAATCCAACCTAATGGCGCTAATAGTAGAGTTTAAAAGATCGCAAAAGTCTTTTAAAATAGATTTTCGTTTGCACTGCACTGCTAAAATATAAGAACCACTTTTTATCATTTCTTATGCCCTAAGAATGTAAAATCAACAGGTCGTCCAAAAATCGTACGGTGCAGGGGGTGGGAAGGGTGCATTTTTCAAAAAATCCAAAAAAAATATTTTTATGTTTTTTAAATCTACAACATACGGCCATTTAACTGTCAAAATATAATTTTTATATTTCCATTGTAAATATTTATTTTTTTATTTTGAAAACAGACCACGCAATGCTTTTATATGGAGTTCCTTTACGAATAAACGCTTGTCCTGAAAACTCATTTTTATGTTATCGTTTACCTCGTTGTAACTTGAAAACAATTTGGTTTATCAAAAAAATACCTTCTATAAACGATATGCACTGAAGATCAAGGAATGCATTGCTTTTTGAAAAATCCTAATCTGATGAATAGTTTCATTGTAAATTAACAAAATGTGAAGCCATGTCGTGAATATCGCGGCCGCCAGCGAAACAGCGAGGAAAGCTTAGATTTGTGTTGACGACCAGGCGATAAACGACTTTAGTGATTCCGACGTGCGCTTAGGATCGTTTTCGCTTGCCGTTTCCTTTGTGCTGCGTTTATGAAATTATTATAGAATCTAAATGCGGACATATAAAATAATATTATTATTTATTGGGATCGAAAACTGTTTAAAAAATTATTTATCTTTTGATATCTCGTTTTTTCTTATTCATTGCGTGTTATGTTAATGTTTTTTTTTGCATTTATCATTACGTACTTACATTATTCTGTCGGCAATTTAAATTTAATACATACCTAATACTAAATAATACTTAATACTAAGTACATAGGTAATACTTACATAATTCTTAATACTAAAAACAAAATCTAAATCTAAAAATAAAAATCATTAGAAAATTATAAATTATACGTATGTTATAATTACCGTATAAACCCGAATATAACGCGACTCCGAAATTTTTCTTAAGATAAGTATATAAAAAAATTATTTAACGCCAGTCGATAATTAAACAGACAATACAGTATTACAGTCTTTAAAAAAAATTTATAATTAATAAACAAGGAAAATATAAAAAGTATTCTTTCTGCCAGTCCATTCTTCAAATTGGTGTAGAACATTATTAATCTTCTGCAAAAGGCAATAAGAACTTATTAATTCTACTTCTCCGCCAATTTCGCGATATCTTTTACATGCTGATGTTGTGGAATAACCTTTTCCCTTTTGGAAACCCTTCTCCATTTCACTAAATAACTGTTGCAGTGCGTCGTTTTCAAAATCAAGTTGTTTTTTACCCGAAGATGTTTTGTTTTCTTCTTTAGGTTTATTTGTTGTTTTATGTGATTCTATAGAAAAGCATGAAGCATGATATTTAATTTCGGATGCGATTAAATCAAGCTCGCCTACCCTGGAGTAAAATATCGGATTATTTCGAGATATAGTTTTAATTTTATTTTCCATATTATTGCTCATGACTTGGCATAATTTTTGATATTTCAAACGTTTTTGGAAAAATACGCATTTTTGAACATCAAATGGAATTGTTCGTAATGCCCGTCTTTGAGTTGTATCCATCGGGAGAACCTCAGTACTATAAATTTTTGCGTATTTTGTTTTGTAGCAAGTAATATTTTTGGAACTGTTATAAGTTTTATAGCAGTTTTTATACCATTGTAAATAATCTTGTCCTTTTAAATCATTAAAGTTTAAAAAAATATGCAAGGCACTAGCATCCTTGCCTTTACAGATATTCATGCGGATTTTTGTACATTCAATAAACTTTTGTTTGGATATTTGTTCTTATTGCCTTATGCAGAAGATTAATAATGTTCTACACCAATTTGAAGAATGGACTGGCAGAAAGAATACTTTTTATATTTTCCTTGTTTATTAATTATAAAATTTTTTTAAAGACTGTATTGTCTGTTTAATTATCGACTGGCGTTAAATAATTTTTTTATATACTTATCTTAAGAAAAATTTCGGAGTCGCGTTATATTCGGGTTTATACGGTAATTATAACATACGTATAATTTATAATTTTCTAATGATTTTTATTTTTAGATTTAGATTTTGTTTTTAGTATTAAGAATTATGTAAGTATTACCTATGTACTTAGTATTAAGTATTATTTAGTATTAGGTATGTATTAAATTTAAATTGCCGACAGAATAATGTAAGTACGTAATGATAAATGCAAAAAAAAAACATTAACATAACACGCAGTGAATAAGAAAAAACGAGATATCAAAAGATAAATAATTTTTTAAACAGTTTTCGATCCCAATAAATAATAATATTATTTTATATGTCCGCATTTAGATTCTATAATAATTTCATAAACGCAGCACAAAGGAAACGGCAAGCGAAAACGATCCTAAGCGCACGTCGGAATCACTAAAGTCGTTTATCGCCTGGTCGTCAACACAAATCTAAGCTTTCCTCGCTGTTTCGCTGGCGGCCGCGATATTCACGACATGGCTTCACATTTTGTTAATTTACAATGAAACTATTCATCAGATTAGGATTTTTTAAAAAGCAATGCATTCCTTGATCTTCAGTGCATATCGTTTATAGAAGGTATTTTTTTGATAAACCAAATTGTTTTCAAGTTACAACGAGGTAAACGATAACATAAAAATGAGTTTTCAGGACAAGCGTTTATTCGTAAAGGAACTCCATATAAAAGCATTGCGTGGTCTGTTTTCAAAATAAAAAAATAAATATTTACAATGGAAATATAAAAATTATATTTTGACAGTTAAATGGCCGTATGTTGTAGATTTAAAAAACATAAAAATATTTTTTTTGGATTTTTTGAAAAATGCACCCTTCCCACCCCCTGCACCGTACGATTTTTGGACGACCTGTTGATTTTACATTCTTAGGGCATAAGAAATAATAAAAAGTGGTTCTTATATTTTAGCAGTAAAGTGCAAACGGGATGACACAATAGAAGCAGCTTTGAACTCTACTATAAATACAATAAAAAGCGCTATTTTTTATTTAAACTAATATGACACAAAGACCAAAGTTTAAATAAACCAACTTGAAAGAATGTAAACATTTAGCATTTGGCAACCGCGCCCTTGAAATCGGTCGAACTCACTCGAGTACGTGGTGCGCAGAAGGTGTTGCGCAAATTACGGGTGTAATATACAACATTACCTTTAACTGGATGCGTGAGATCAAAATACTCTTGCTACTACTTGTATAAAAGAAATATTTGTACCAATCCGAGTTTTGTGTTTTTTAATTTTATTATTCAGTAATGAAACAAATGTTGGTTGCCTAACTTTCAGGTTGATAAATTTTGGATTGACATAAAACGTCAAGTCATTTGTCAAAAATTTAAATTCGAAAATCTAAACCTAAACGTCAAAAACTAAATATTTAAACAACAATTTTTAAGAATTTAAAACACTAATAGCTAGTTTTAGCTCTTTTTCGACGAAAATCTTTCGATTTAAATTCATAAATTTTATTAAATACTTCCTCGTTGTTTTTTCTCAAAGTGAAAACAGAGATAAAAACAAAGTACGGTAGGTCAGGCCATTTAACGTCAAAATCATATGTTAAATGTTAATTTTCATTTAAAAAAATTTAGGTGAATGTGTCGAAGACGGAAGATTTGAAAACGTTTCGATAGGAAATGTACAGGATGCAAAGGAAGACATCCAAAGGGAGAAAAGACAACCAAAAGACGAGAGACAAAAATTGCGGTAGAACTCGAAAAAGGGAGGGAAATCCGGACATGTCACAACGTCTTACGGTGAGTTTCCCCCATCGATTTCTCCATCGATCTGCAACATTGTCCGACGATTTATTTCCGTTCCAGATCCCGCACGATTTCTATCACAACGGCATCGAGCCCACTTCATCCCAAAGAACCCCTAACGGTAAGCATTTTTCGAATTCAAAATGCGCTAAATATGATTTAAAAAATCGATTTCTAAGGTACCAAAATCAGCAAAGACTACAACGTAGAAAAGTGCCGCGGAATCTTCGACGAGTGCCCCAACATCCGAAGATCCGAAAGGCTCCTCAAAAGGAACTTCAGCCAAAACCAGTTCAATGGTAATTGCACCGAAGACAACACCAGTAAGTCTGCACTTACTCATTACATATCTGTAAATATCTACACCGACAATACGTCCCTCTAACAGATCAGAAACTCTGCAACGCCTCCGAAGAAGACTTCCAAAAAGTATTCAACAAATACCTAAACCTGAATTCGTACAAGCCCGTCGACGTGCTGGTCCCCAACGAGCCCCTCAAAGAGGAGGAAGAGGCGCCGCCGAAGCGCCCCTTCAAACGCACCAAAAGCATATTCGACGAAATCAACGAGCTCTACAATCAACCGAGCAAGAAACCCAAATTGGCCGACGGCCCCCCGACAGGGCCCCCCAGCGATCGGGCCTTCGTCGAGTCGGTGCGCCGGCGACTCGCCGGGCACTACGCGCCCGGCCGCAAGGCGTTGCTCACGTGCAAATCGAAGATCTTCACGGAATTGAATCGCATCGAGGAGATTCTGTCGGGCAAGGCGGCGATGGAGGAGCCCGCGAGAGAGCAACAACGCGCCGATTTCTACGAGGATCATTCGGAGGAGGCGGACGATTCGAATTGGCGGTATTTCTCGAAGTTCGAATGGGTGTTCGAGACGCCGCCGACGCAGAAAATCGTCCCGCCTAAATTGGAAGACAATCAATTGCAACCGGCCGTTATTTACAGCACGAGGAAGCACACGCAGGTGTTCGAATTGGATCGGAACGATAAGGAGACTTTGATCGAATTCGAAGGGCGCCAGAACGTTTTGATCGATAAACGTGCGAAGCACGTTTACCCTTCGATGCAAGTTGATTCGGACAAGGAACCTTGTTCCAGTAAAACCTTTACGAATTGTAGTCAGATTGTTTCCAATGAGAAAGTTGTAAGTATTTCTAGTATTCTGAGGAACTCTCTGTATACAGGGTGTTTCACAACTTATCCGACAAATTTTAACCACATATGCACTGTTACGAGAGAAGTTGATTTCCCAAAAAAAAAATGTTATAAATGATAATTATATTTATCAACACTACTGTATATTTAACCATAACACGACGCGCACTTCTAATTTTTCGTATGTAACATTTTCAGTTCAACTTCAGTCAACCTCAACAAGAAACGTTTTTGAACGCTTTCGCGAAATCGTCGAGAAATAATTACATGGAAGAATCGAAAGACGCTTGCGGAGGTGGAGCGATTAAGGCGAAGCGCAAACTGGAAAACGTCCTCAGTCAGGACTTGTTCGTTAATAAGGCGATGCCGGAACGGCGTTACGCGAAGAATAAGGCGACTTTCGATCGGCGACAAGTCGACGAAGAAACGACCGGCGAGTTTACCTTGATAGAGGCCGGTAGATTGTGTTCGGAGAAGAATTTGGAATTCGATTTTCGAAACGCGCCGGGCGACAATCGAGTCTACACGGAATTCGGTTTTCCTTAAGGGCGTTTTCGCAACGTGCAATAAATTGCCGCGACAAATTGCATTGCAGTTGAATACAAGCGTTTATTTATACAAGCGATATTGCAGCAATACAGAGTTGTTAATTAATGCAATGTACTTATTTTAAGGGATGATTCTTGAGTTACTTTTGAGTCGAAAAGTTCATATAAAGATATGTCATCCGAGGCTCGGTTTTCGATATACAGGGGTTGCAAAGTTTTATTTTTATTTAGGTTGTTTTCATAAATTTGAAAAACCGTTTGCGATATTACATTGAATTCTAGGATAACATATTTTGTTATAAATACGCATTTTTTAAACAAAATATTTTCTGTTTAATTTTCTGTTCTGTTTTCTTATCTAAAAAAAGTAGTACGTCACTGTTTTTTAGAAACTTTCTTTAAAAATTATTGATAACCATTTCATTTTAAACAAAAGAAGTTTCCTGCGTTTTTGTCGTAGGACTTATCTTTACTAGGACTTTAATTATTTTAAAGAAAATTAAAAACTACACCTTTTCCAGTTGTATTTCAGAAAGCGTCAATTGAATTTAAGAATAGTCAATTTGATTTCAGAAATCAACAATTGAATTTCGGAATAGTCAATTTAATTTCAATAATCATCAATTGAATTTTAGAATAGTCAATTTGATTTCAAAAATCATCAAATGAATTTCAGAATAGTCAATTGTATTTAAGAAATTATCATTTATGTTTCGGAAAGTGTCAAAAGGATTTCCAAGTCCCATTTGGAATGCAGAAATCATATGACAATTATTATTACAATTATTAAGGAAGAAGAAAAACTCAGTCCACTCCACAATTTATATTATTTTTTCCGAGTTGAAATAACTTCTCTCCGGAATTGAAATATTTTTTCTGAAATCGAAATTATTCTTCTGGAACTGATACTTTTATAATTTTTCCTGAAATTGAGATTGAAAAGCTATAGATATTGAAGAATTCCGAAATACAAATGATGATTTCTGAAATGAATTTGACTATTTTAAAATTCAAATGATCGTTTCCGAAATCGACCTGACTATTCTGAAATACAATTGATGATATCTGAAATCAAATTCACTATTCTGAAATACAATTGACGCATTCTTAAATGAACCTGACTCTTTCTGAAAAACAGTTGGAAATGGTGTAGTTGTTACCTATAAAATGTCAAACTAAAAACTACAGGACATACAAGACTACAAGACTACAAGACTACAAGACATTTTATGTACATATGTAGATATTGTACAATATGTTGTCCTAGAATTCAATGTAATATCGCAAACGGTTTTTCAAATTTATGAAAAAAAACCTAAATAAAAATAAAACTTTACAACCACTGTATATCGAAAACCGAGCTTCGGATGACATATCTTTATATAAACTGTTCGACTTAAAATTAACTCAAAAATCACCCCTTAAAATATGTACATTGCATTAATTAACACCCTGTATATTGCAGTATAAAGTGCCAATAAATTGCCATATAAAAATTGATGCGATACAGGGTGTTCCATAATGACATACTAATATTTAAAGGGGTGATTAGGAACTATTTTAAGAAAAAAACTTTTTATAAACATGTGTCCTAAACCTAAAATTTATTATTTTTTAATTTTATTACAGCGACTAATTTAGCGGCTGTGTCCAAATAAATGCATTTATTTTTTTAATGCGAAACGAACGATAAGGAAAAATGTCAAGAAATCAAATTCGTTCCAAATTGAATGTGGATTTCAAAAATAATTTTTATTTTAATATTAGGCAGTGACGCAACAGTTTTTCCCCAAAAATATTCAATACAAAACCCGTACGGGCGCCACTGCTGAAAATAATAAATTTATTTGTACATCAGAAATTGCATTTTGATTCATAGAAGACGTGTTTCAAATTTCATAAAGAAATCTACAATAGTATCACAGTTATTACAAAAAATTGATATTTTTTTAAACTTTAACATCCTTTATCTCAAAAGTTAAGACGTTTATGACATAGGTTCATATGAAGTTTTTTTCTTAAAATGGCTCCTAATCACCCCCTTAAATATTAGCACGTCATTTTGGAACTCCCTGTATATTGCACTGTGTGAAAATGCTCTAACGGCGAAGCGTCGCGTTTACTAGTTTATTTTTTTATTCGATATTTATATCTATTTCTTTAAGCGTTAAAAAATATTAAAATTTATTAATTTTAATATTAAGTGTTGATTAAAATGAATAGATTAAGGTTTTATTTCAGATTTGGTTCTCCGGATGTCCGGAGAGGTAAATGTTTTTCTATCGAAAAATTGTTCGGATTACGAACGCTAAATGTATAGTATTCATTCATAGTTTAATTAAAAGATGTTTCGTTTTATTTTTTTTTTTTTCATTTTGTTAATTTGTTGTAAATAACAGGAAATATACAGTTGGTGCAAAACAAATATCAATGCACGTCGCTACTGTCGTTATATTTGCCATCAGACCGTGGACGTGGGTTCGACTCCCGCCGAAGTCAAGTGGTAAAGAAGTCATTAGAAGACTTATAGCAAGTGTGAAAGGTTTCTTGCCAAGCAGTTTTCATTCACGCCGGTAACCAGGCCGGATGAGATCGGATATCTCGTGAAGAACTGTTGACATAGAAACACACTTGTAGTCGGTAGAATCACCTGAACAAAGGGATAATCCGGGGTTCTAAGGTGGTTCGATGACCGTGGTTCGGAATCCACGATAAGCTGTAGGTCCAGACCGAATAGCCTTTAGTAGCTGAGGTCTCAAAAATAGAAGAAACAACAACATTTGCCAAGCATTGTGCCCGGCTTTTAAAAATAAATACACAATATAGATTAAGCTTAATACCTGCAGAATTTCATTTAATATTAACAAGTTATAAAGCAGAATTAAATCATCCAAAAAAATATATTGTCAAAATTTAACGTTTCTTTATAAAATTATTATTTTCTTATAGTAGGTTGGTAGGCACTGACTGTCAAGGTGCATAGTTGCCGTTGTCATCTGATCGGTACTTTCAATTTTCAATTTCTTTTTTTTTTCTAGTTTACTAGCCTCGACAACTAAATGCTATTCAGCCAAATAATCAAAAATTATTTGTATTTGTATTGTATTATTTATAAAATAGCATTTGGGTAATTCAATTTATCAAGCCTTGGGATACCAGTACCAGTATTTATTTAAACGTAAATATACCACCCATCTTCATTAACCAAAACGAAAAGATTTTACTTTTATTATATTACGTATGGAATAGCAGGTAAGTAATTCCATTTATCGAGAATTACAGATCAGAATTATAAATGGCGAGTTATTTTGTGGTTTAGTACAGAGATCTCGGAAACTGTAGGAGATAGAACATGTTCACAACCAGTTTCAGTTTTTGCAAAATATGACACCTGTCAAAGTAATTGAATACAATTGGGAGACGAAATATGTCGGTAAACCGCAAAAAATTTCGGTAGACCGGCACAGTTTCCTTCTCTAAAATAAAACAACCAAATAATGTGAATTTAATATATTTTCCCAAAATAACATGGGAATATAATCATTTGTTGTATATACAGTAAGAGAAAAAAAATATGTACACCGTAAAACTAATATTTACATTATCCTCTGACACCTTATGTACAATACATATAACTAAAAATCTAAGAGATCTAATAAAATAACCTTACGCTGGATTAAATAATATAATATATTAAAAAAATAAGTCACCTACGAGTCTTCCATGACGAAAGTTTGATTTTAAATTTCCATTAAGCCTATAATACAGCGGAAGTTAAAATATCAGTCCATCTTTTCAATTTAAAAATTAATAAACAATCGAATTATGGTAAAAAAATAAGTTACATACACGAGTCAATATACAGGGTGTCCCAATCAAATGTATAGCCTATTTAATTAGCTTATAACTTTTAAACTCTTAATCATTAAAAAAACATGTAAATTTATTTTATTTTGCTATAACTTATGTTACAAGGACATAGAAATTATGTATTACACGTACAGAAAGTTTTATCAAAATCTCCTCTTTTAAATTAACTGTAAACAAATTTTATTAAATGAAACACCCCGTATATGTAGAGGTATTCCGAAAGATATACGTTTCTACTTTTCAAAAATTTATTATTTGTACTTGTTAAAAAAGGTGTTTCATTTCAAAAAATCTCATTAATGTCATGTGAAAAGTGGGCGATTTTGATAAGACACCCTTTACAAGTGATACAAAATGTCTGTCTCACTGTAATAAAACTTCTTACAAATCACTGTAATAAAACTTCTTACAAAATAAAACGTATCAGCGAAAACCGTATATGTACATACTTATAATTAGGCGTTTAAAAATTACGAGCCGATTAAATGGGCTACTTTTCGTTGGGACACCCTGTATATATTTTATTCTGCAAAGGAAGACGAATGGCAGATTTTGAATTGCCATTTTTTTTTTTTCGGAACCAACTGTATCTCAAATGTTAATAAAAATAGACGAGCCTTTTTCCTCTATAGAGATATAAATAAATTAAATTTACGTAAAAGTTTACAATTTTTTGGTTTTCTTTTCGAATTCATTTTTGCTTTACACACGATATACAAAGTGTCCCCAAAAAATAAATTTCTTTACAAGCAAAAACAGAACGTGTAATTGAAAATTTTGTAATACATTTTCCATCCAGGAATAGCAACTGAAAAATTGAACCCTAAAATTGAATTTTGCAAAGTTTTGGAAAGTTTTATAAATAATTTTCGCGGCCACCCTGTATCACCTTATACAAAAAGTAGCGGAGATATTAAATTATGCATTTGTCTTGCCATTTATTAGATTTATTGGGAATATGCTAAGAGCGTTTTCACACGGTGCAATATATTGCAGCAATTTATAAATTTAATAATTTTTTATTAACGCTGGTATAAAAACTGCAATGCAATATTGCTGCAATACATTGCAATATTTTCTAAGTGTGAAAACTACGCATTTGAATGTGTGTATTTTAACTGTAAAAATATGCATTATATTGCATATATTGCACCGTGTGAAAACGCCCTAAGAGTAGAAACTAAATAAAAAAAAGAAACATAATTTCATTTGTTGCTTCACTAAAAATAATGTGCTACATTTAGGAAGTACGCGCGGTTAAAATAAATAATTTTTTTTCAAGTTTTTTAATCCATGATTAAATTTGATTTAAGTAATTTATATCAAATTAATGTTTAATTGCAGTAATAAAAATCCGGGTAATAAAAATACAATAAAGAGAGTGGTTTAGATAAAATTTGATGTATTTTTTTGATATTAGATATTTTGCGATAATTGATAATTTTGTATTGTTCCAAAAACAAAGGAGCAAACTTGAAAATTTTGAATAGTTATTTCGATATTAACTTTTCGTAATATTGCCTAATAAAACGATGATTGAGCTGTAAACATTTCTTTTCATTTTTTACTCTGTTAAAACTCAATTTTACAAACTGTTAACAATGAAACGAATTTCATACGAAATTACTCGGTTAATCCGTCGAATTTCCTTTCGAAAGAAAGAAAATTTATTACTTTTTTCTTTAGAAAGCTGGAAAACCCGAGGAAAATTACCAAAAAAAATGAAATTTACTAACGATATGTGTTGTAAAATTTGAGCTTCGTGGTCCCTACAGAAACATTTCAAAAAATTTTGAAATGGGTTTCATTGTCGCCGTGCATGTTTCAAAATCGGATAGATTTATCTTTTAGAGCCTTTTCACACGGTGCAATATATTGCAGAAATATTGTATTGCAGTTAAATTACAAACGTTTAATTGCGTAGTTTTCACACGTATAATATAAGATAATTTTTATAAACGCATATATAAAAACTGAAATACAGTATTGCAGTAATTATTGCAGCTATTGCAACAATATTGCACAGTGTGAAAAGGCTCTTTTATAAATTGCTGCAACATATTGCAGCAATATAATGTTGATATAGCGTTAATAAAAATTATCGTATCGCATTTGAACGTTTGTTTTTTTATTGCAATGCAACAATGCAGCAATAAATTGATGCAATATATTGCATCGTGTAAAAACGGTCTAATTGTTACCAAAATTGCATTATTCACCCTGTATATGAAAACAAACGCTAACCAATAAACTCAATATCGATTCCGTTTTATTTTTACTTTTGATTATCCAATCCTTAACGTTAGGTTGAAAAGAAAAATACACTTTTTAAAAAACTTTGAATGATCGCTAAAATTTCAATACATTCCAATATCACAGCGGTGAGATCTATTTTTTTTATTTACATAATACAAGAGGCTTTTTAACGCACTGTAATATTCGGAATTTCGTTTTTTTTTTTGATAATACTGAGCGATTTTTTAAAGCAATATACAGGGTCTCCCAACGAAAGGTAGCCCATTTAATCGGCTCGTAATTTTTAAACAGCCGATTATAAAAACATGCGATTTTCGCTGATATGATTTAGTTTGTTAGAACTTTTTTTACAGCGAGATGGACATTTTGTATCACTTGTACAGGGTGTCTTATTAAAACCACCTCTTTTCAATTGACATTTTATGAAATGGGACACTTTCTTTTTGTAGAATATGTACAAATATACATTTTTGAACAGTAGAATTCTATATCTTTCAGAATATCTCTACATATACGGAGTGTTCCATTTAACAAAATTTAGTTACAGTGAATTTAAAAGAGGAGATTTTGATAAAACCCCCTATACGTGTAATACATAATTTCAGTGTTCTTGTAACATAAGTTGTAGCAAAATAAAACAAATCTGCATGTTTTTATGATTAGGCGTTTAAAAGTTATAAGCTGATTAAATTGGCTACTTTGCATTGAGACACCCTGTATTATACGTATTAAAAGCATTTAATTGGGGGGGAAAAATAATCACAGAATGCAATCGGAAGTAAAACGACGAAAAATTCGAAGAGAGCTAAAAAGGAAAACATAATAAAGATTAAAATTGCAGTTGAAAGATAAAGAAGAAAATATTAAAATTGGAACAACCTAGATAGTTTAAAACAACTTGCACTGGGACCACTCGCAAACATGTGTATACAGGGTGTGTTAAGGGGTGATTCTGTGACAAAAATTAAGGCGGGTATTTGGTATATTTTTTTTAAATATCCTCCCCGGAAAAATTATACCCCTCCGACGATTGAACAAAAAAAGGTTTTTCTTCTTTATTTTCCCTGTATATTAAGCTAAAAACACGCACTTGGGGCATATTAGGTATTTATGAATGAAACTATACCCGTTTTGATTTTTTTTCAACCCAGAAGTATGCTTAATTTTAAATTCTTAGGTTTTGAAACGGTCAATCCCCAAGACATTTTTTCTTACAACTTTTGTTTAGAAGAAAATTTTTGTTTTAAAAAAATATGGCTGAAAAGCCCAATTCATTTACCAACTTTTTTATACCTGTAAGTTTTCACAAAAACTTAAGCATTTACGAGAAAAAATAAATCCACCAATAAATTATCCACCTTAATTTTCATCACAGAATCACCCCTTAAAATTTGTTCGGTGTAATTCAGATACACCCTGTACGTAGGTACTACAAACCGTTCCCTTTAAAAAATCGCTTTAAAACAGTACTATCGTGCGACTAAAAATTTGTATATAAAAATACTACAGATCTGAATCAACGACACAAATATAGAAAATTAACAGTATCTCAGTCAATCCTCGGCAAATCCACCTCCTCCCTCCGTTTGTCAACGAAAAAAAGACACCCTTTCGTCTCATCGAAAGTTTGCATAATCATGTATTATTTATACCCACCCGTTGGAAATTTAATTTCGCATAATAGGGAAATCAATGTTAAATTCTTAACCGGCTGAAATCCAGTCTACCAGTATACATTTCAATAGAACGTCGCGATCAATTCTAATAAATTTAATTGTTCTACTGGACCGCACGCCGCGATTTGTAGAGGTACAAAGTTATTTGTGTTAGGTATGAGGTACAAAATTATTTAGAAACTTATTTTTTTTGGGATATTTCAAAAAAATAAGTGTATCGGTAGGTACAGTTTTGAAAGAGCAACAAATCTTGTTGAAATAAGGGAAAAAATAATTCAATTTTCTGCTAGATTTATACCTCAGCTCAGTAATATGAGATGACATCTGTATGACAGGTTTTGCTATTGTTCAGCAGAAAGAGGTGGATTATTTTTTAGAGTTCTTTTATTTTCTGTTTTAAAATAATCTTTAAGTTTATTTTTGGAGTTTCCTTTTTATTATCTTCTTAGAATTTACTTTCTTTTTCAAGCCATTGTGGCAAATATCTACATAATTCTATTTTAATATTAGTGACATTTATTCAATAAATTATCGTTTAAAAATTTTCATTTCTTTTTAATCGACTCGACGTTCGCTCATCCGAACTCGTTTTGATACTGTCGAAGTGTCGAAACCGTCGAAATTATTTGATTTTTAATCTAACCGAACCAAAAGCGCGGTGTGAAATCCAGTAGAACAATTAAATTTATTAGAATTGATCGCGACGTTCTATTGAAATGTAAACTGCTAGACTGGATTTCAACCGGCTAAGAATTTAACATTGATTTCCCTATTACGCGCGAATTATTTTCCAACGTTGTATGTATGTATATATCGAAGCAGGCGCTGCCGCGACGCCAGGGCCTACTAGCTCGGGCGCGGCGACGCCGTACTCACCACCACCACGGGTTTGACCAGGTACTGCGTGAGAGGTACCACTTTGCCGCCGTTGATCTGCTGAGGCGTGATGAAGTGCGTCGACACCAACGGCGTCAGGTGGTCCAAACCTTTCGGTACGATAGCCACTTTTTGGAGTACCAGACCGGAGTTCAGCTGGTTGACGGGATAGGTCATCGGGAGTACAGAGAGGGCCGTCGTTTGGACCGGTTGCGATACCTGAAATTTCGTTTTTTATAATGCATATAGTTTCAATTTGGATGGAATCTAAATGACGGTTTTTCCCATTAAGCGGAGAAAAAAAACCTAAACTTGTGGCGAAGAAAGCAAACACTGAAACATTACACAGTTCTAAATGATTCTGGAGGGTTCTAAATGGTTTTAGACAGGTCTATATGAATTTGGAGCGTTCTAAACGAGTTTTGAAAACTTCTATACAGGGCTTTTCACGGTAACCGTCCATTAGAAGTATCTCAATAATGAAAAATTCTACGCTTAATTTAAGAGTACTTTTGTCTAAAACATTTTTTCAAAAAATGCATACTTTTCGGATTGACATAAGGCCATCAAATGGCCAACTAGAAAACTCAAAAAAAAAAAAAATATACCTTATTTAATAAGACTTCGATTATTTCAAAAATTACTGAATTTGGGTATAGGGAATACCCATATGGATCGAAAGGGCTTAAAAAACTGCATTGGTTACTGTTAAAAAATACAAGGTGATCTATTTGAAATAACAAAGTTTTTGCCACTTTAATTTGGTCAAGTTTGTCAGACAATTTTAAACGCCCTGTTCATGGATTCTGAAAATAGAGTATAGTTTCATTTAGAAGTGTGTTTGGACATCATCGATACTCAATTTCAAGCTTCTAGCTGCATTATTAACACAGATATCACAGAAAATACATTCGACTGTTTTTCCAAAAAATATCAAAAAAATTGTAATATCTTAAAAATGGTGCATTTTTGACATATGGTGTTATTATCAAAGTCTAGTTAAAAAAGGCCATAGAATTAAAAAATGAAGTTAAAAATGGCACTTTTAATTTAAAATAACGAAGTTGGTGTCAACTTCCGGTATAACCGGAAGTGTAATCAAAATGAAAATATTTTAGATCAATTCAAATTATCCAAAAAATACTATAACCAAAATTTCAGATTTTTAAGTCTTTTCATTATTGAGATACTTCTAATGGACGGTTACCGTGAAAAGCCCTGTATAGATCTAGAGAGTTATTAAGGGTTTTAGACAGTTTAATGCTTCTGGAGCGTCTTAAATAATTCTAGACAGTTTTAAATAGATCTGGAGCGTTCTAAATGGTTTTAGACAGGTTTATATGATTCTGGAGCGTTCTAAATGATTTTTTGGAGAGTTCTAAATAGATCTGCAGCGTTCTAGGTGCATGGGAATGGTTTGAGACAGTTCTAAATGATTCTGGAGCGTTCTAAATGGTTCTAGACAGTTCTAAATGGATCTAAAGCTTTCTAAACAGCTCCAAATGATTCTGGAGAGTTCTAAACAGTTCTAAATGATTATGGACGTTTCCAAATGGTTTTAGAGACGTCTATATGATTCTGGAGTGTTCTAAATGGTTTGAGACATTTCTAAAAATGATTCTAGACTATTATAAATGGACCTAAAACTTTCTAAACTGCTCCAAATGATTCTGGAGCGTTCTAAATGATTTTTTGGAGAGTTCTAAATAGATCTGCAGCGTTCTAGGTGCATGAGAATGGTTTGAGATAGTTCTAAATGATTCTGGAGCGTTCTAAACAGCTTCAAATGATCCTGGAGCGTTTTAAATGGTCTTAGACAGTTTTAAATGGTTCTAAACAGTTCTAAATGGATCTGGAACTTGTGCGACTTGTGTACTAGCTAGTACACTCTAGTACACGGAGAATACCAGTATACCGATTCGCTTACTTCTTTGATTGTCGTCAGATTTTGCGTAACGACGGGAATGCTGGGCTTGGGCAGAATCGGTATCGTCGTCACCTCCGGCAGGTCGTCGTTTTGCGCGCAATTCCCGTTAAACGAAATCTCCTCCACGTCGTCCACTTCGTCCTTGACCGACACCGGCTCGTCCTTCAACGATCCGTTCCCCTCCGGCAGGATCTTCGAGAAATCGATGTTATCGTAATGCGACATGATGTCCTTTTTCAACACGGCCAATCGCTGTTGGGCGCTGATCTTCTCGCGCGCCAGCCGCTCCATTTCGTGCTCCAGCTCGCGCTCCTTCCTCTTCAACGCCTGTATGTACCTGCAAGAGTGATCGACAACACAACACGATTGGTTTGGCAATTGGAAACGAACGAATTCAAAGAAACCCACCTCAACGCCGAATGCAGTATGCTGAGGTTCGACGGTTTCTTCTCGTCCTGCCGCGACGGCAGCTGCTTCTTCAGTATGTCGAAGCACTCCTTGAGGTGCGCCCGCCGGTGCTTCTCCAATTTGTTGTGGACCTCGCGCGTGCCAGCCCGAAAGACCAGCGGCGGCTGTTTCCGCTTGCCGCTCGACGCGCCGGTCCCGTTGCCGCCCGTGTTGCGGATGTCGAAGCTGTTGTGCAACACGCGCTGCTGTCTCGGCAGCTGCGGCAGCGTCGTGCTCGACACCTGCTGGTCTTGGTGGTCTTTTTTCAGCTGCAACTGCAATCGACGAAGATCAGAAGCCGTTCGGATCGCTCGGGGGGGAGGGGGGGCGGTAGGATGGAGAATCGGTCGTTCGGAGGCGGTATTGTTCGATGGTGAGGTGATTTGAGCGCTGGTAAAGTGGAAGCGTTCGAGATGTGGATGGACGGAGTACCGGTGAAGATACAGAAGGAGAAGGAATGTGTAGAAGCACTCAAGTTACCTGGGGCATATTTTAATATCGCTAGTTGCAATTAATCCTGCAAGGAAAGATAGATGGAACACGTCCTCCTGAATCAAATGACACCAAATAACGTTTGCAGAACTATTCAGAGCAACAGTATTCCTGCATTTGATCGCGAATACACTTCTTCAAAAGGTACCTACGCACTTGAGAAAAAAGAAGAAAGATGACAAGGAAATGATAATGTAACCAACAGGGAGAAAACCAAAATGATTTTTTGGAGAGTTCTAAATAGATCTGCAGCGTTCTAGGTGCATGAGAATGGTCTGAGACAGTTCTAAATGGATCTAAAGCTTTCTAAACAGCTCCAAATGATTCTGGAGAGTTCTAAATAGTTCTAAATGATCATGGACGTTTCCAAATGGTTTTAGAGACGTCTATATGATTCTGGAGCGTTCTAAATGGTTTGAGACAGTTCTAAATGATTCTAGACTGTTATAAATGGACCTAAAACTTTTTAAACAGCTCCAAATAATTCTAAGAGTTCTAAACAGTCCTAAATGATTTTTGGAGCGTTCTAAATGGTTTTAGACAGTTCTAAATGGTTTTTGGAGAGTTCTAAATAGATCTGGAGCGTTCTAAACAGCTTCAAATGATCCTGGAGCGTTCTAAACAGGTCCAAATGATTCTGGAGCGTTTTAAATGGTCTTACGACAGTTTTAAATGGAGCGTTTTAAATGGTCTTAGACAGCTTTAAATGGTTCTAAACAGTTCTAAATGAATCTAGAGCGTTCTAAATGGATCTGGAGCGTTCTAAATGGTTCTAGACGTTTCCAAATGGTTTGAGACAGTTCTAAATGATTCTAGACTATTATAAATGGACCTAAAACTTTCTAAACTGCTCCAAATGATTCTGGAGAGTTCTAAACAGTCCTAAATGATTTTTGCAGCGTTCTAAATGGTTTTAGACAGTTCTAAATGGTTTTTGGAGAGTTCTAAATAGACGCGCTGGTAAAGTGGAAGCATTCGAGATGTGGATGGACGGGGTCAGTTACATGCGAGTACCGGTGAAGGTACAGAAGGAGAAGGAATGTGTAGAAGCACTCAAGTTACCTGGGGCATATTTTAATATCGCTTGTTGCAATTAATCCTGCAAGGAAAGATAGATGGAACACGTCCTCCTGAATCAAATGACACCATATAACGTTTGCAGAACTATTTGGAGCAAAAGTATTCCTGCATTTAATCGCAAATACACTTCTTCAAAATATACCTACGCACTTAAGAAAAAAGAAGATAGATGACAAGGAAATGATAATGTAACCAACAGGGAGAAAACCAAAAGCAGTGTAGTATCTCTAGAAAGATAGAAAATATTGGTAACGGTTAGCAAAGAACAGTAAGAGTAGTGAGTAAAAGAGACTTATTATACGTCCAACAGTGTAAAGAAGACTTCGAGAGCTTCACAGAGTTAGGAAGAAGACTTTCGATTCTGAAGCCTTCTAATGAGTCGACATGGTTTTAGAAAGTTATAAAGGATTATGGAGTTTTTTTTTAATGCTTTTTGCTTCTAGACTTTAGTTCCAAATAGTTCTGGGGCGTTCTAAATACTTCTGGATCGTTCTAAATGGTTTTAGCTAGTTCTAAATGATTTTGGATCGTTCTGAATGATTAAGGATTTTTGTAAATGCTCGTAGACAGTTCCAAATGATTCTAGAGCGTTCTAAATAAATATGGAGCATTCTAAATGCTTCTGGATCGTTCTAAATGGTTTTAGCTAGTTCTAAATGATTTTGGATCGTTCTGAATGATTAAGGATTTTTGTAAATGCTCGTAGACAGTTCCAAATGATTCTAGAGCGTTCTAAATAAATACGGAACATACTAAATGCTTCTGGATCCTTCTAAATGGTTTTAGCTAGTTCTAAATGATTTTGGATCGTTCTGAATGATTAAGGATTTTTGTAAATGCTCATAGACAGTTCCAAATGATTCTAGAGCTTTAGAAAGAGGAGTTTTAGAAAGAAGAAGACTTTCAATTCTGAATTCTTCTAACAATTCTAATGACTCTGGAGCGTTCGAAATGGTTTTTGAAAGTTCTAAATGATTATGGAGCTTTCTAAATACCTCTAAACAGTTACAAATAATTCTGGTGATTTTGAAGTGTTCTGAAAAGTTCTAATTGAATCTGGAACGTTCTTAATGACTGTGGAGCGTTCTTAATGGGTTTAGAGTGTTCTAAACCATTCTGGATCGTTCTAAAGAGTTTAGAAAATTTTAAATGATTATGGAGCTTTCTCAAATACTTCTAGTCAGTTCCAAATTATTCTGAAGCGTTCTAAACACTTTTGGATCGTTCTAAATGCTTCTGGACGGTTCTAAATGGTTCTAAACAATTCTAAATGATTCTGGATCGAAATAATAATGTAGCCCGCAGGGAGAAAACCAAAAGCAGTATAGGACCTCTAAAAAGATGGCAAATATTGGTAACAGTTGGCAAAGAACAGTATAAGGAGTAAATAAAGAACAACAGTGTTCAAAAGAAGGCTTTAGAGAGCTTTAAAGAGTCAGTTCCAAATTATTCTGAAGCGTTCTAAACGCTTTTGGATCGTTCTAAATGCTTCTAGAGGGTTCTAAATAGTTCTAAACAATTCTAAACGATTCTGGATCGAAATAATAATGTAGCCCGCAGGGAGAAAACCAAAAACAGTATAGGACCTCTAAAAAAAAATGGCAAATATTGGTAACAGTTGGCAAAGAACAGTATAAGGAGTAAATAAAGAACAACAGTGTTCAAAAGAAGGCTTTAGAGAGCTTTAAGGAGTCAGTTCCAAATTATTCTGAAGCGTTCTAAACGCTTTTGGATCGTTCTAAATGCTTATGGAGGGTTCTAAATGGTTCTAAACAATTCTAAATGATTCTGGATCGAAATAATAATGTAGCCCGCAGGGAGAAAACCAAAAGCAGTGTAAGACCTCTAAAAATATGGCAAATATTGTTGGTAGCAATTGGTAAAGAGCAGAAGTGAGGAAAAGAATCATATGTACGTCCAACATTGTTCAAAATAGAGAGCTTCAAGGAGTTTTAGGAAGAAGAAGACTTACAATTCTGAATTCTTTTTACAATTCTAATGACTCTGGAGCGTTCGAAATGGTTTTAGACAGTTCTTAATGATTCTGGAGCGTTCTAAATGGTTTTAGAAAGTTTTAAATGAATATGGAGCTTTCTAAATACCTCTAGACAGTTCCAAATGATTCTGGAGCATTCTGAACAGTTCTAATTGACTTTAGGACGTTCTAAATGACTGTGGAGCGTTCTAAAAGGGTTTAAAGTGTTCTAAACGAGTCTGGATCGTTCTAAAGGGTTTAGAAAGTTTAAATGATTATGGAGATCTCTAAATGCTTCTAGACAGTTCCAAATTATTCTGAAGTGTTCTAAATGACTATGGAGCGTTCTAAATGCTTCTGGAGCGTTCAAAATGTTTCTGGAGAGTTCTAAATAATCCTAAACAATTCTAAATGATTCTAGATCGAAATAATAATTTAGCCAACAGGGAAAAAACCAAAATCAGTATAAGACCTCTAAAAAGACGGCAAATATTGGCAAATATTGGTAACAGTAGGCAGTAAATAAAGAACAACAGCGTTCAAAAGAAGGCTTTAGAGAGCTTCAAGGAGTTAGGACTTACTTGCGCCGGTGGGGTGGTCGATATGGCGATGGGTCCTTGTACACCTTGCAGTATGGCCTGCGAAAGATTGCTCGACGATATGACGACGGTTTGGGGCGTCGTGTTCGCCGTGACTGTCTTGAAGGCGGCCTGCGAAAGGGCTATCGTCGAGACGCCGTTCTGTTGGACGTGCTCCTTTTTGACGGTCGTCGCGACCGGCGTCATCGTGGCGAGCGTCTCGGCGGCGACCGTCGTTCGGTTGTTTTGCTGTTCTTGCATTTCCAGAAATCTAGCGGCTTCTAAAAGTGTGCTCAAACTCATGTTATCCAGAGAAGGTGGTCGTGCCAGGCGTGCCAGGTGTTCGGTCGGGCGGCGGTTCCTTTAGCCTGCTTCGATCTGTAATCAACCACAATCCTGATCAAGGACGAGGTCTGTATAAAATGTTTTATTGTTGGTGCAAAACAAATGTGAATGCGCGACACTACTGCTAAGCATTGTGCCCAACTTTTAAAAATAAATACACAAAAAAAAGCTTAAAACCTGCAGAATTTAATTCAATATTAACAAGGGATGATAGGAAATATTAAAAAAGCAGAATTAAATCATTCAAAAAATATATATTGTCAAAATTCAACGTTTGTATACAGAGTGTCTCAAAATTGACTTCCGCCCTTTCGGTTTATGAATAAGGAGATCAAAATAAGCGTAAACGAAAGAATAAAAATTTTGCTTTTTGTCTTTGGTTTCGGAATTATTGATAAAAACAAACGACTAAAATTCAATCGGAAAACGTTATTAAAAATGAAGTAAGCTTAAAACGAACGAATGGCATAGGTTGCTATGATTATTTTAAAATTTTTTAATTAGTTATGTAGTAAATATATAACAATATTTCCTACGGTTATTTAAAAAAAATTGATTGTTCTTATCCAATCGAGAATTCATTGATATGTTCAAAGTGAAGATATTGACTGTATGAAATTATACCTACTAATAATGACAGAACTAATTATAAATTTTCAAAATCATCATAGTAACCTATGTCAGTCATTCGATTTAAGCTTACTTCATTTTTAATAACATTTTCAGATTGAATTTGAGATGTTTGTTTTTATCAATAACTCGGAAACCAAAGACAAAACGCAAAATTTTTATTCTTTCATTTACATTTATTTTGGTCCTCTTATTTATAATGCAAAAGGACGGGCGTCTATTTAAATCATAAACCCTGTATAAAATTATATTGTTTTATAGTAAGTTGGTAGGCACTGACTGTTAAGTTGCATAGTTGCCGTTGTCATCCGATCGGTACTTTTAATTTTCAATTTCATCATCTAGCATATGTTCTATTTTCTAGTTTACTATAGCCTCAACTACTAAAGGCTATTTAGCCGAATAATCAAAGAATAAGAATTTTTTGCGTATATAGATAATTCACATTCAGAAGATTTCTCAGAAATTTCACTATGTACTCTTTCAAGGGCCAATTATCAATTTTATAATTGAATTTTTTACTCGCGCTGTTAAATATATTTCAGATGATAAAGAAATTACGTAGGGTATACGTCCGCCGTTTATAAACGTTAAACAGGTGCCCCTAATTTTAAATTTGTTCTCGTCATTTTGTCATTTGACAATTTTAAAAAATTCTTAGATTTTGTAAACTCTATAAAAGTTCGGCAACACTGCCTACGTGTGACGTAGTAAATCATGGGTGACGTGCATTGATATTTGTTTTGCACCAACTGTAAGGGTATAAGTAGCTTGGATGTAATTATGAATTATCGTATCAAATTGCCTGAACAACTCAAGTTATAATCAGCAGATTGCGAAGATAATTCTGGGTTTTATTTTATTTAAACCTGGTGAAATTGATTTTATTGCTCGTGAAACAGGAATTTTTATGTACCTATTCAAGCTGCATAGGTGCATTGAATATCTCCTACGATATTCTGTGGTTATAAATAAGTTTCCAGAAGAAGATATCTGGTATATACTAATCTCTCACATGAAGTTGATTGTCTCCCTAGAAACAAGATTCTTTATGTCTTCAAGCTGCATTGGATATACAAGTATAATGTTCTGGGTTTCAAGGAAGATTCCAGAGAAAGATTTCTAATACAAGGTTTCAGATGATGTTGATTAGTTCCATAGAAACAAGATTCCTTATATGTTCTCGAGTTTATTTGAGTTTGTCAAGTTCTAATTGGGTAGGAGGTATTTTACAAAAATTTTAAAACATGAACACTAACTTCGCTCGACTGGTTTTTATTTTCTTGCATATGTTAGTTGTTTTTTTCATTATCAATAAATTCTATTCAAAAACTCTTAATTTTTATTTAAATATTCAAACTCGTTAAGTGGGAGTTAGTAAGTCTTTCTTTATCCTTGATACGGGACCAATGGAAGTTGTCTTTGTTGCACCAATGGATCATATTGCGTTAAAATCTGCGCAATACTCTATAATGTTCTGTGGTTTCAATGAAGATTCCAGAGAAAGATCGACTATTTACCCCAGAAACAGGATTCCTTATACATGGTGGCCCAGAACTCACGCCCCACCGGGAAATGCCTTATGGAAACGACAATGGAGATGATAAAACTGCAGTCGAAAACATGAAAAAGTTATTCCTTTGGTAAATAAAGAGGTTTAAAATCGACCAATCCCAGTAGAAGTTCAAATCAACGATAATTACGTAAATAAGCTACACACCAATTAGACATTATTGTAAGATTTGCTTCCAAATTGATCAAAAAATCGATAATTCGGTTCGAACCACTTTTGAAGTAATACAAAATTCTGTAGGCTTGGTATCAGCAAGACGGAGCTCTTGAATGATCCATTTGGAAGCAAATCTTTTATCAAATTGTCGCTGCTGATTTTGGCAGCTTTTGTTAACCTTGAAAGTGAAAAGAAGATAGAATCTTTCAATAATGTCAAATTGGTGTGTAGCCAATTCACTTCATTTTCGCATTTGTGAACTGCTACTGGCATTGGTCGATTTTAAACCTCTTTATTTACCAAAGGAAAATTTTTTTCATGTTTTCGACTACAGTTTTGGCATCTCCATTGTCATTTTAATAAGGCATTTCCCGGCGGGGCATGAGTTCAGGGCCACCCTGTATATTTCATGTAACTGTATCTTGTTATAGTTGCATATCGTCGCTGATACTGCAATACTGCATAACCAACAGTGGTCAAACCGCGGAACTACAAAAAAATGGAAACTGTATTTTTTTATTTAACTATTGATTTTAACGACATATGAACCCCAATAGAGGCTCAGTACATAAATTCATAGACATTTTATAGTTCAGTCGACCAAGGATGTAGGATTATCAAAGTTTTATCAAGTTTTTTCTCTTTTTTGTAAAGTTCCTCCTTACCTACTTACGCGGTTTTAGCCACTATTGGTTACGCGATATTGCATCAGTATAAACAACGATATCATATACTCTTTTCAAGGAAGATTCCAATGTCCTCCTTGTCCAATTCACATTCAGAGCAACTTCAAGCGATCTTTTGAATAGTACCTAAGAACAAACTCCAAACTCCCACGGCTCTACAAACCGATTCACATCAATTAAAGTCACTCGCGAAACGTGCGCTCCGCCGCGTCCCACCTCCAATTACCCACCGCCCGACCACCTTGAACGGGTCAAGATGGTCCGATAAACACGTGTCCGTGTCCGGCGACGTTGCATCGATTGCGCACGGACGGCAGCGCGGACGGTCATCGGCGCACCACGCATATCGTGAGTCAACACGGAGGGACTCCTCTCTCTTCGACAGATAGAGTGTGTGTGTCACGACGAGGGCCCATTAGAAGTATGTGGAAAAGTGGTTGTTATTAAAATTTGAAAATTTGTGTACAAGTATTAGTCGATGCGCTCTATTTAATGAAAATATTTTCAACTTTTTTTTGCTTCCGGTTATACCGGAAGTGGACAGCAACTTTGTTATTTTAAATGGGACACCCCATATATTAATATATTTTCGAAATGTACGCAAAATTTTAGAGTGCTTTTGTCTAAAAAACTTTTTTCAAAAATGCATACTTTTTGAGTTACTAAATTTTTTTGAAAAATTTGACCGATGCAGACCCTCATAAATTATTTTTTTACGGGGATCCCTTAAAAGATATGGATACGGTTTGTGTAGGGTGGTCACTAGCAAGGTCAAAGGTATTTAAATCTGTGTTAAAAAACTTTTTATTTTATACAGGGTGTATACAAAACATGTGAAAAGTTGAACTTCAAAAATACCAAATTATTTCATTTTTTTAATGGAACCACCCATTTTTTCTATTTTATTGAAATCAGCGGTAAAAAATTAGGGAAGTTCTTGTTTACTTCCCTATACCTAAACCTAATAGTTTTGAAGATATTGAATATCTTACATAAATCTTACTTTTCTGCATTATTCTTAAATAATCCGTTTTTACAAATTGGCCATGTAAATTGTTTGTAATTAATTGATTATTAATTTTGGTACTTATGAGATATTACTTGGCCAACTTGTAAAACGGATTATTTAAGAATAAGGTAGAAAAGTAAGTTTTAAGTAAAATTTTTAATATCATCAAAGCTATTAGGTTAGGTAAAGGGAAGTAAACATGAACTTTCCTTATTTTTTACTGCTCATTTCAATAAAATAGAAAAAAATGGGTGGTTCCATTTAAAAAAAAATGAAATAATTTGGTATTTTTGAAGTTCAACTTTTCACATGTTTTGTATACACCCTGTATAAAATAAAAAGTTTTTTTAACAGATTCAAATACCTTTGACCTTGCTAGTGACCACCCTACAGAAACCGTATCCACATCTTTAAAGAAATCCCCGTAAAAAAATAATTTATAAGGGTCTGCTTCGATCAAATTTTTCAAAAAAAATTTAGTAACTCAAAAAGTATGCATTTTTGAAAAAAGTTTTTTAAACAAAAGCACTCTAAAATTTTGCGTACATTTCTAAAATATATTAATATATGGGGTGTCCCATTTAGAATAACAAAGTTGCTGTCCACTTCCGGCATAACCGGAAGTAAAGAAAAGTTGAAAATATTTTCATTGAATAGAACGCATCGACTAATATCTGTACACATATTTTTAAATTTTAATTACAACTACTTTTCCAGATACTTCTAATGGGCCCTCGTCGTGACACACACTGTATACCGACGGTGGAACGTAACACCGGAGGATCGTGCGCTGCGATATGTGCGTTGCTCTATCGCTGGTTGGATTTTTCTTCGTTTGGGGGGAGAAGTTGGGGATTCCAAAGTCACTGCACACGGTCAGCTGATGAAGATTAATGGTGTCGATTTAGCGTATTACGCATACGGCCCGAGAACAACAATTTGAATGATTGTGAATAGACCTATTCAGT